ACAAGAGCTTCTTGGCCATATGAGAACCTAGTGTGTCTTTAATCTGTGGGCCTGTGTGTTCCTTTATCCATTCATCCATCAACAGACATCAGATACTGTCGTTTCATATCTTGGTTATTGTAAATAATGTTATAGGGAATGTGATGGTGCATATATGTATATAGGGAGCTGGTTTCATTGCCTTTGGGTATAGACCTAGTGTTGAGAGAGCTGTATCATATGTTGGCTCTATTTTTAATTCTTTAGGAACTTCCATACCATCCTGTAATGGCTGTGCACTACCAACAGCGTACAAGAGTTCCCTTTTTTCCACACCAGCACCAGCACCCTTGCCTTTCCTCCTTCCCTCCTGTTCTTTCTTTCTCTCTTCCTCCTTCCTACTTTCCCTTCCTCCCTCCCTTTCTCTCTCTTAATTTCTACCTCTACCTCCTCTCTATAGTATGCACTAGCTTCCTAATGGGCATTATATGGAAAATGCTATAGCAGAAGCAGCAGCTAAGAGGTAATGGTTGGCTGGCTTGATGAATGGTGCTGGACCAGCCAACTTATTTGTTGTCTCATCAGACAATGCTTGTTCTCTCCTCAGGAGTTCCATGTTCAATAAATTCCAAGATCCCTATTCTGCATTAGGCTTCGAGATCAACCATAGAACCTTTTTTCTACAGAGTTTGCACCCCAATTCCCAACTACCTACCTGGACTGTTGACACATACAAGTATGACATCTCTTCTTCATGACTACCAGACAGATGTCTTCCCTTTAAAGCCAAACAAAAACAGCTTTTAAATAGTTCTTTTCTGACAAATAAAAACAATTATGGGAGCCAGATCCCAAGGCTCATACTTGTAATCCTAGCTACTCACGAGGCTGAGATCTGAAAATTCAAAGCCAGGTTGGGCAGGAAAGTCCGTGAGACTTACCTCCAATTAACCACCAGAAGACTGGAAGTGGTACTGTGGCTCAAAATGATAGAGCACTAGCTTTGAGTGAAAGAGCTCAGGGATAGCACCCGATCCCTGAGTTAAAACCCTACCACCAAAAGAAAAATGCTCATTTGATGAAATTTGGGGAAAATAGCAAGAACATAAACATAAATCATCATCATTATTATATAGACATATTCACTGTTGAAATTTTGATGTATTTTCTTTTGGATCCTTTTATGAACAATGTAATCATAGTATATTTATATTCTAAGTTCTCTTTTTCTTTTCTATCCTATTGGATACAGTTTTCCAGGTCGTGAAAAAGTCTTTGGAATAGTAAGACTGATCTTTCTAAATCCTAAATCCAGTATGTTACTATCTTGCTTAAACTCTTGTCATTGGTCTTAGAAGGTAAAGTCTCTTCTCAATGCCATGTACAAAGGCTCCTTCAGGTTTGGTCTCTGCACACTTCTCCAGAACTCTGTTTTCACTCCTCACCTCTTCCTTCTCTAATTCCCACTCATCGCAGCTACTAACACACAGTCACTTGCCAGTTCCCTTCTGTTACACACTCCATTCTACCTAGCCAACCTCCCAGGCCCCCTCATGGGCTTTCACCCCATGACCCTTCTCATAGCATTGTCCTATCTGGAATGTTCTTCCATCTCTATATCCAATACTTTCCAGTTCTCAAAATAACTGGCCATCCATATCTACTAGTTCCAAATCTGTGGATTCAACCAAACTGAGATAAAAAAAAATACACAGTGCCTCTTGCACTGAGTATTGAATATGTACAGACTGTTGCTTTTTTGTCATTATTTCCTAAACAATACAGTCTAAAAATGACACATAACATTTATATTATATTAGATATAGTAAGAAATTAGGTGATTGGGGGTAGACAGAAGGATGATCAAAGATTATAAGCAAATCCTAAGCCATTTTATACAAGAGACCTGAGCATCCCTGGATTTGGGTATCCATGAGGGTCCTGGCCAATCCCCCAGGATAACTATACTCAATTCAAGCTTTGCCTTTTTCATGAAATCTTTCCCTTCTTTCTGTAACCCACCGTGGAGCTTCCTTCTCCTTTTCTTCATCTCATGGTACTCTTCTGTCTAGTAGAGCACCCGCTGTGGCATAGACAGTGGAGAACATGTCTCACTCATCCTCCTTTCTTCAGTACTTTCTAGTATTTATCATGTTGTAGATGCTTGATGACTTTTTGTGGAGCACAAATGACAATGCCATGCAAGAATACTTACAGGAACCCTAAGAAAAGGGCGTCTTATTGGTATGTGAACCAAAGATCTAATGACTAAGAAATACATTCCTTAGTTTTTGGGGGAAGAGGGATAGGTCATGGGTTTTGAACTCAGGGCCTGGGCTCTGCCCCTGAGCTTTTCTGCTTTTCTCATTCTACCACTTGAGATTTAGCTCCCCTTCCAGTTTTCTGGCGGTTAATTGGAGATAAAAGTCTTTTCTGGATTTTCTGGCTGATCTGGCTTTGAAATGCCATCTGAGGATCTTAGCCTCCTGAGTAGCTAGAATTACAGGCATGAGTCACTGGCACCCAGCAAGAAATGTATTCTTTTTCATATAACATTGGCTTTCCTCCATATTTTACCACCTATTTGAACTCCAGTTACATTTCTGTTCCCTGCCTTGAACTATCTGTGGGAACTTCTGTCACTCTCTCCTCATCAACTTTGTCTACTTTGTCTACTGTGACTCTTGGCATCCTGAACCCAAGGTGGAACAGAAGTCTTCCTTCACCACCACTGGTTTCTTTCCAGGAGCAGCACCCACAATTGTAGGTCACACCTACTCACCCTGGGTTGGGTCTTAGTATCCCAACTCTAGCACGGTCATCTGGGTCCTCAAAGAGGATATCTGGAATCACTTTAAGTAGTGTAACCAGCCCCAGCATTCCAGGCAGATCACCCAGCACACTGCGTAGCCAAGCCCTTCAGCTCCCTCTCCCCTGTCACTGTACTACCCTGACTCTGTCCTCGAGTCCTCCTGTAGACTCATCTTGGGCTTCTTTGCTTAAAGAACATTTACTTGTAGAACATTTTATATCAGGCAAAATGCTGTAGGACTGATTTCTAACATGACACTGTGGATTCCTCTGAGGTTCTTTATTCTGAAGATGTTTGGGAATAGACCATCCCAACCTCCATTTGTCAAGGTTGGGCCCCTGTAGGCAGAGATTGGATCTGCTTTCTGGGTCAGCCAATAGGACTACAGAACAGCGGCTGCCGCAGGATGATCCGAGAGGGAGGAGAAGTAAAATATACTAATCAAACCCATTACCCACTGGGTCCATCTGCTAGAGAGCCTGTCTCTGGTGATGGCACCAGGGGACATGTCACTGGAAAGCTGCTTGTCCTGTGGCTTGTCAAGCTTTGGAACAGGCAGTCTAATTTCCTTAATAACAGGTTACAGATCCTGTATCTATAAATGTAGCTAAACCCTTCTCGACCTTTCTTTATTTTTAGCCTATATGCTGCTCTGGCTATAGCAGCTTCCCTGGTTGATTACTTGTTCTGTAAATACCTTTATGGGCAAGTGGAAATTTTCTCTCTCAAACTGGAAGACCCTATCTTCTCAATGCTAGTGTTGGTATCACATTCATGTTGGGCCCCGGAGGTACTACTTCAAATGGCGTGGGAGCTGGAGAAGGTTAGTCTCTTTTCTCAATTTAAGTGTTGGGGATTCAAGTCTTAGTGCTCTCCATCTTTTCTCAGATGATGGTCCCCCTCTCGTCTCATTTGCCTTATGTTTTCTATCCCTTCAACGTCTTTCCTGCCTCTGCCTGGCCTAGGTTAAATGACAACAGCTAAAAGAGCTTGTGACAGATACTCCCAAGTGTATCTCATTCAAGACTAAGCCTTTGTTGTTCCTACCATTTGGAGGCACTTTTAGACCTTTCTGACTTCAATGTCAGGATCAATGTTTTCAAAGACTACTAAGCGAAGCCTTTCCCTTTAGCTGCAGTGGCTGCTGTAGTGAAGACTTTGGTATTGTTTGGCTACTCTCTCTTATTTGTTCCACAGTTACCTACCTTGACCTTGCTCTCTAGTCTTACTTTTTGTCTCCATTGCTTCTGTAAGTTCACATAACCAAATGCTAAACATCAATGGTCCTTTTTTCCAGAGCACTTGCAAAAATGTTACACTGGGCCCATTTTGAGTACACTTACTATTAGTGCCAACTACAGAGGGAAAACAGCTCACCATTGTAGAGCATGTTTTTAATTTCACACAGAAATTGTGTAACTATCAACTATATCTTATTCTTTAGAAATCTGCAGAAAGGAAAGATATAGGATCTTGAGACAAAACTGAAGCATGGAACAATTTTAGATATCTCCTGCGAGATCCCCAGTGACCGGCAGATCTGGGATTAGAATTCAGGTTCCTTCCCTCTTGGCTCCTTCTAGAGTACTGTGCTAATTCATCTGTTGGTGTTGTTTTTCCTCATTCCTGAAGCACCTTAATTAGGAGAAATGAGGATTCATAAGTAAAAGGATGCCCCTGATAAATAACCTTAGCAAAGATATCTTTGGAAAAGGCTAAATCTATTGACTCGGTTTTGTTTTGTTTTGTTTTTGCTATTTCCTCTGTACATCTCAGTGTCCCCTTCAAAAGAATTGTAGCTCATTTAACAAAGCATTATTTTACCTCTCCCTACTCTATCTTAACCCTTACCAGTTTGTATTTAATGGTCCTATAGCTGATTTTTTTTCTAACTCTTATCAGCTATAGAATTGCAATGATTAGTCCCCTTCCCACCCACCCCCAGCCTTTACCCAGAGATAAGTCACTGTGACAAGCTTATGTCCAGGCAGTTGGCTGCACATAGATGCCCAGCATGCCCTGATTCCCTGAGCAGGCATCAGTTGGGCTCTGCTGCAAGCGGGTGGATGTCTCTGGTCTCCTGTGGTTCATAAGAGCAATCTGGACTGCTGACTTCCTCAGGGGGCTGTGACTAGGCAGGTGGGATACAAGGCTTCCAAATGACTTCCCAGCATACATTCTCTAAGGCTATTTATTCTTCTCTTTCTAGACTCTAGAAGGAGGGTCCTACAGGGGGAGCTTGAAGGACCCCACAGGCTGCCTGAATGAGGGGATGACCCCACCCACACCTCCTAGAAACCTGGAAGAAGAACAGAAAGCCAAAGCCCTCAGAGGCAGGATGTAAGTGGCTCATCAGAACATAACCTTGTGCAGGGGTACATGTGTGCATGTGTGCATGCATCCGTGTGTGTGTGTGTGTGTGTGTGTGTGTGTGTATGTACATGATAATGGACAGGGTTGAAAGAGAATTAAACAAGAAATTTTTTGTACTATATTTCCACTAATCTCATTCTTTCCAAGTAAAGGTGAACCAGATCTGTACACTATAACACTGATGTACAGATCACAGACATTAAAATCAGGAAAAATAAGCAAAGCCAAGCCCTTTAGTTGCTCAGAAATATGCAAACTAAGCATTTAGGACTTTGTTTCCTAGGAGGTAAAAGTGGAAACATCACAGTAAGAGCCTGGCATCAAAGCAGGACTGTTTCCTAGAGGAGAGGAGCAGTATACTATAAACTCTGTTACCTCAGATTTGTCCTCACAATGTTAGGTTCACGAGGAACCTCCATAACTTGATGAATATAATTGGGGGGTTAAAAATACATCCCCAAGGGGAAATTTCATAGGTCTTCCACAAAGCTGATCCAACCTGTAACATGCCTATAGTCCTAACTACTTAGTTCAAAAGCAAGTTCAGGCAGACAGATCTTAAGATTTACCTCTAATTAACCAGCAAAAAGTTGGAAGTAGTGGCAAGGCTCAAATGTTAGAGCACTAGCCATAAGCAAAATAGCTGAGCAAGAGCAAAAGGCCCTAGTTCAAGCTCCAATATAGTTTCTCTCTGTGTCTCTCTCTGTCTCTGTCTCTCTCTGTCTCTGTCTCTGTCTCTGTCTCTGTCTCTCTCTCTCTCTCTCTCTCTCTCTCTCACACACACACACACACACACACACACACAAAAGAAAGGGGGGAACCTATTCTCTTTAGCCTCTCTAGTGGTTATTAGTTACACTGAGAAGCCAGAGCTGGCATCCCAGTTCTTTGTCAAGCCAAACTAAGTCTCCTATCAGGGAGATATTTACCAGGGAATTGACCTGTGAGGTAGCAGGAGGTTCTAACAAAGCCAATCACCACACCCTTGCCACTTAGATTGAATGGACTTGCGAGTAGTATTTAAGCTTCTCTCCAAACAAGACAAGATCTGATTTTGATATGGCAAGCATCAAAAGTTTGTTGCCTTTTTTACTTGTTATACCCATTTCTTCTCTCTCATTTGATTTTTACCAAACCCTACACTTCTCTACTTCCTGAGCTATCCTGAACATCCAGCAGTAGAGGTACTCATTCCCCTAACTCTATATTATTATTTAACCTGTTGTGCTTTATGTCATGTGTACAGCCAGGGACTCAGTGGTATAGAGAACTGAGACTCATTCAGGAAATGGCAGTAGGTCACAGAAGGGCTAAATTTAAAGAGTTGAATCTTTTCTCCAAGATGAAAGCAAATAGCCATTGGTCCAAAGAAGGAAAAATGTTAAGAATGGACTTGTTTTCAAGTTGTATTGTTGAGCAGCTATTATGTCCCTTCAATGGATAAGACAGACAACAACAAAAGGTAGTCTTCAGTCAGGGCAGTAATTACACAAACAAAATAGAGAGGCAGTGTATTGGGCAATGTAAGAGAGATCAGAAGTGTGGATAAGGCCATGCTGCCATTTGAAATGATTCTGACATTTGCACAAACACCAGAAGAAATTAGCCATAAAGGAAAAGTGTTCTCTCAGAGGGAACAGCCAGTACTAAGGTTCTGAAGGATTTTCTGTGGGAGACCAACCATTCCCTACCATTGTGAAAGAGAGCTATTCGAAGTGGGCCCAGCCTGATAGCACAAAGAATTTCAGTTGAATCAAATAATAACATTTATTTCTAAGTAACTTTGGTAAGAAGTGAACATGGGAAAAGAATTGCTTTATTATCAGTCCATTTGTACCACCTTGAGATGTGTGTATTTAAATCTTCGATGTAACTATTCAGAATCAGCTTTCAGTGTATCCTCAACTCCCTAGATACTCCATCAGCCCTTGAAGGGAAATGATGTAATAAGGCCCTTTAGAAGCTCTCAGTGCAGTTCCCTCCCCTAAAGTCTGAAAACCCTGGACATCCCCCATCCTCCAGCAAGTAGGTAAGGATAAAAATACTGCCTGGAGACAGAGCCCTAGACCTCTTCTCCAGAGGGCCCTCCCAATTCTAAATTCCTACTCTCATTTTCCTGTGGGTTTTCTTTTACCACTCTCTTTCAAGCAATAACTTGGGTCATGCTAAAGATATATCAAAATGCTTCTATTTGGCCTTGCCAGTTCCTTCCTGTGGCCCAAGACACATGATTGTGTGTTAGAGGGAGCGAGCCAGTTGGAAAAGCTGGGCATGCTGATAAAGAAGCATGTGTTCCTTTGCTTCCTCCCCCATTCCCTGAGGCCCCAGACCCCTGGGATTTGTTGGCTTCTCAGTGCGGGACAGAACAGGAATTTTAGATAAATTGTTTCCTGGGTTCAAAACAGTTATAACCCCTGTGCCAGGGCCCTTCTTTCACAGCTCAGAACTTTACCCCTTCTGCTTTTGGGGCCAAAAATATACTTGTGTGGCTCTAGGCAAAACCCTTTCAAATTAGATAATAAGAGTCAAACTTCAGTAGACCACACAGTGCCCTCTGCTCTGTGTATAACCATAGCATTTTATGACTGTCCAGACAGAAGAAGGAGGCTGAGGCTTCCGGAACTTCAAAAACCCCATTGAGCCATTCCCCAGGCAGTAGGCTGCAGTGACAGGCATGGCCTTTGGTCTCTTTACAGCTGAGCTCAAGTCCTGACTTCCCTTCTCATTTCGTGATCTTCGGCAAGTCACCTAATCTCTTCATCTCATGATTTTTTTTTTTTCTGTACCATAATAGGGCTGGAACTCAGGGTATGGTTACTCTCCCTTAACTTTTTCACTCTAAGACTGGTATTCTACAACTTGAGCCACAACCCTACTTCTGGATTTTTGCTGGTTAATTGGAGTCTTAAAGACTTTCCTGCCCTGGTTGAGTCTGAACAACAGTCCTCAGATCTGAGCCTCCTGAGTAGCTAGAATTACAAGTATGAGCCACAAGCACTCAGCGCCATCTCACTATTTTTATTTAGATAAAATAGAGCCTTATAATACCTACCTTGTTAAAAGCATGTGAAAACCCAAATGAAAATAACTAGCACATAGTCCAATGCTCTTAACAGGTAGGAATAATAATAAAGAAACAAAGGGGGCTGGGAAGGTGGCTTGCATGCATGAGGCCCTGGGTTTGCTCAGCACCACATAAGCAGAAAAAGCTGGAAATGGAGCTGTGGCTCAAGTGATAGAGTGCTTAGCATTGAGCTGAAATGCTGAGGGACAGTGCCCAGGCCCAAAGTTCAGGCCCCATGACTGGCAAAAAAAAAAAAAAAGTTGAGTGTGGAATATCTGCAGTGAACCTTTCTGGACTTGACTGGGGATTTCCCCAACTGGTTACCATGAGCACTTATCTATCTAAAGAACTGCAAATTCTATAATGTGAAAGCTGCATGTTTGAAGACTTAAAGGCTTAAGAAGAATGGAGCCAAAATGAAGGAATTGAAGTCTCCTGTTATCTCTTGACCCCAAGGCTTTCAGAACTCAGTTTTGCCAAAGTACTTATCATTGTTTCTGCCCTGTGTCTGTCTTTAAAGGGAGAACATTCATAAGATTGGAAAGAGATTTCAGGGCAATGAGAGGCCTTCTTGCCATGTCATTCAGGAAAGCCGTCTCTGGGCTCTTGCGCTCAGCTCTTCAGTGGGTTCCTCCATCCAGTCAGTACCACAAAGTACCTTTCTGGATGTTAAATGAGGGTCTTTGGGCTGATCTTTTCATAAGTTGTCTAAGTTTCCTGTGCTCTTGAGTGTAAAGATTTCTTGCCTGATGGTGGAGAGGAGTCCTCACTGTCCTTAATCTCTTGCCCAGGTTTGTCCTGAATGAACTTGTACAGACAGAGAAAGACTATGTCAAGGACCTGGGGATTGTGGTGGAGGTAAGTGAATGGTTCAGAGTTCATCTATACTCATCCAACCAGGAGCAGATAGGACACTGCCTGAGCTGGGGTGCTTTAGCTTCATGGCTATGACATTCTACTCTGTCAGGATATTTACAGAAGTGAAAATAAAAGATGATGTAACTTGAATAAAAGATGTAAGCTTTTTTTTCTTTTCTCCTTGAAACATTGAAAGGGGGATAGAGGGGCCCAAATGTTACAGCAAGCTCTTGGTTAGAATCAATGCCACTTCCTTTTGTTTTTAGTGACCAAGTTACTCTCATAAGTGGCTATTTGGTATTTTACCATGGGGACGTATACATTTCAGTGCTGTGACCATCATGGACACAATCCAGGTTACTTCTAGTGAAATCCTGGGTCTTATTCATTTATTTAGGCTTTTAGGAGATAGTTGTTACTACCAAGAAGACAAAGCTAGCACTAGTGGTTCATATCTGTAATCGTAGTTATTCAGGACGCTGAGAGCTAAAGATTGAGATTGGAAGCCACCCCACAGGAAATTCCCTGAAACTCGTATCTCCAATTAATCAGCAAAAATCTAAAAGTGGAGCTGTGGCTCTAGCCTTGAGTACAAAATCTCATGGACTGCACCCAGGCCCTGAGTTCAAGTCTCACATACACACACACACACACACACACACACACACACACACACACATACAAAGTACTACCACCCCCAAAAAAGACAAAGAAAAAATAACCTCTTTGTACACTACTTAATAACAATAAGAATGAAGCCACCAACAAGCAAAAGTGAGTGGTTGGTTAGTAGTCACCTTGTACATGTTCACAGAATTCACTTTAGAGAGACTTAGACACTTGGTTTCCGTGAAAAAGCCTCACAAAGTAAGTGGATAATTTAGGTGGCACAGAGCCCTATTGTTATTTATTTATTTATTGCCGATCCTGGGGTTTAAACTCTGGGTCTGGGGTCTGTCCCTGAACTCCTTTTGCTCAAGCCTAACACTCTACCACTTGGGCCACAGTACCATTTCCAGCTTTTTCGTGACTAATTGGAGATGAGTCTCATGGACTTACCTGCCTAGGGTTGTCTGTGAACCATAGTTGTTAGATCTCAGCCTCCGGAAGCTGGGATTACAGGTGTGAACCATCAGTGCCCAGCTTGTTAGTCATCTTTAAAGAAAGAATTCTCAGTATAAAAATTGAATTCTTAGTGTCTAAATTGCCTGCCAGTTCCAGTCACCCATAAGTCCAGCCTATGAAATCTGCTGAGTTAAGGATTTTATATTTGCCTATCCTGAACCTTGGGTGAAGAAACTAACCTGGTCCACAGGGGATCTGAATGTCAAATTATGGATGGTTAATTTCACTTCCATCAGGGGATGGAAACACTTGGCTTCTGGGGGTAGAGGACTGGGGAATCTGGAGACTGAGAGACTGCCATCTCAGGAAGTCAGATATCAGCATGATGATAAGTTCTACATGGCCTGTTTCCTGGATGTTCTCATCTGCCACACATAATGCATGCTACCTGTACAGCCGTGAAACCTGATTTGAAAGCTGAAATGAAATTACAAATTAATGCAATAGCCAAAAGTATTAGCATATTATCACTTAACACATGTGAGTCTTTAACAATATGACTAATTGGGATTAGGAGAAAGAAGCACAGATGATTGTCTCTCTTCTTGTTCTTTCTCTTTTTTTCACATATATATATATATATATATATATATATACATACATACATACATATATATGTATTTCCGTATATTTGCAGTATTAAGGAGGGAGCCCAGGCCTTTACACATACTAAAGTTTTCTCCCAGAACTACACCCTGTTTTGCTTTCTTAAGGGACCTGGAGACAAATACAGAAACCTAGAAACTTGAAAGTTTCACCCCTCATTCTGCCCAAGGTCTAAGTCCTAGTTGAAGAGGAGAAATCCAATGGCACTTGCCCTTAGAGTTTTGTGTAGGGCCTAGCCCAACACTTTCTCCCAAAAAGCCTCTACTGACCATTGCCTTTGTTGCTGCAGGGTTTCATGAAGAGAATAGAAGAGAAGGGGGTCCCAGAGGATATGCGAGGGAAGGATAAAATCGTGTTTGGGAATATCCACCAGATTTATGACTGGCATAAAGAGTAAGTGTTCATGCTGCCCCAGGGTCAGGAGTCTGCCACTATGAGTCCTCTTCCTCTAGTGTATGTACCTAAAGGGCAGAGCTTGAGGGGAACTTCCTCACCTGTGGCTCATCGGTGAGATGATAACAGTTCTGAGTGGTGTGGCTTCCTTCTCTTATCCCCTCTCTCCTTCTAGTTTCTTCCTGGCTGAACTGGAAAAATGTATCCAAGAGCAAGACAGATTGGCCCAGCTGTTTATTAAACATGTGAGTGTTACCCTCTCCCGCTCTACAGCCTCCTCATATACATCTCTTTTTTTTATTACCATACCTTAGTTATACAAATGGGGATTTTATTATGACCTTGCCACTCAATATAAACCCCTTATATCAATCTCGCTCCTTCTATCATTCTCCTTTCTCCTTTCCTAAAACAATTTTAACAGGTTTTGTTTTTTCTATTTTCATACATGCAAACAATCTGCTTTGATTATATTTCTTGGTTGCATTCTTTTTTGTTTTCAAGTAGCGTTTTTGTTCAGTGCTGGCACTCTACCACTTGAGCCATACCTCCAATTCCAGCTTTTTCCTGGCTAATCAGAGATAAGAATTTCATAGCTTTTATCTGCCCAGGCTGGCCTTGAACCATAATCCTCAGATCTCAGCCTCCTGAGTAGGTTAGGATTACAGGTGTGAGCCACCAAGGCTCCACTTGTCATGAACATTCTTAAATTCCTTCTCTCTTCTGCTCCTTCTGGACTTGCCTGCCTTCTCACCTCTCTCTAAGGATTTTTTTAAACCTCCTTGACAATCTGAAAAGTAGACTTTTGCCTACTACACTTACCTTATGTCCTTAATGTTTAATTGCCTTGGAAGATGATTGGTCTTCCCTATACAGCCAGCTCAGCAGTCTAAGGATGAGCAAAAGGTCCCAATGCACCTGACTGTCTGGTGTCTTCCTTCTCTGTCTGTCTCAGGAGCGGAAGCTGCACATCTATGTGTGGTACTGCCAGAACAAGCCACGCTCGGAGTACATCGTGGCTGAGTACGATGCCTACTTTGAGGTAAGCTGCTCAGGCTTTGCTAAATAATTGGGGAAAATGTAGGCCGGGACAGCCACATTCAGACATACACAAGGGGCGTATCTGTGCATGGGCACCTGCTCCCCAGCACTGTTGACCCTTCATGACAGAATTCCCTGCCTCAACAGAGCCATAGGTTTCTTGGCTCAGTACCCATTCACAGCTCTGGTCCTTTGCAAAACAGACTTGTGCACACACTCTTTCTCACCAGTCCCCCAGAACTGCTTGCTGAGGGTCATTCCCTTGTTTGAGGAACTACCGTCACCACCTAGAGGTTTTGTCCAATACCTCCAACTATGAGTGATTGTTCCAACCTGGAAGGATTGACTTTATTGGTTGGAGAAGTGACGCCTTCCCTTAGAGGTGAATTTAGGACCCAGACTTGTAAGCCTGTTTTATCCTAGGGGAACTGCTTCCCTGCCCCTGCCCTAAAGCAAAAGAGAGAACAAAGTTCCTGTTCCAGACTGTCTCCCAGGACCAGGTTCTGACAGTGCTTGTTGTGAAAGAAGGCCATGGCGCCGGTCATGCACTGTTCATGACAGATGAGCAGTGCTGTACTCAGTTGTGTGTTTTGTGTATCTCAGACTTTTCTGGAAAACATGACCTGCCATGCCTGCCCTTAATTTTTAGCTTCATTTCTAACACAGTACCTTTATGTTTTAGGAGGTAAAACAGGAGATAAATCAAAGGCTGACACTTAGTGACTTTCTCATCAAGCCTATTCAGAGAATAACAAAGTACCAGTTGCTCCTCAAGGTAAGAAGCTAAGAGCCTAAGTCCATACCAGAGAAGTGTCTCCTCAGGCCAGAGCCAGTGAGCTTGTGCTCTGATTCCGTCTCCACTCTAGTTCTGAAGGGCCTCAACTAGTGAGGCAGGAATGGCTTTCATCTCACCTACTGGTCACTGTCAGCTATGTGCCCGGGAAAATTGCAAGGCTCTCATTTCTGCCCTTAAGGTTGCTTGTTACTTGATTTTCTTCCTTCAGTTAACTTCTTACTTTATTATAGATGATACCTTTAAAAACTAAAGAATAATAATAACATAAAAACAGAGTGGAAAACAAGGGAGAAAAGAAGGGAAGGCAGGGCCCTAGAAACATTAGATGAGGACTACCTAGAATTTTTATTTATTTATGTATTTATTGGTTTATTGGTACTGGGATTTAACTCAAGACCTGGTACCTGCTAGGCAAGTGCTCTACTACTTGAGCCAAGCCCCAGTCCCTTTGTTTCTAGTTTATTTTCCAGATGGGTTTTTACACTGGATTTTCACAACCTTGTTCCAAACTGTGTTCATCCCACCTCCTAACCAGGATTATAGCTGTGAACCACCACACCTGGCCCTCGATTATATTTCAAACAATAGCTTAATTTGATATTTCTTCTAGAAACATGAGACTAAATGGAAGAGACTGACTTGAATCTTCTTTTCCCATCTTGTCTTAACTTACTCCCCACTTCCTTTGCCCCTTTTCTTACCTAGGTTAGAAATTTTGAGTATTCTGTGGTTTTTCTCAATATCATTGTGTCTACTACAGCTCATAATTTTATTTATCAACTACTACAAACAATTGCCATCTCTACGGGGAGGGGAAGTCTTTGGGGGCATTGTTGCATTTTTATGATAAGTTTTTCTAGTTCTGTGGCTAGTTTACTAACTGATTTTGCCCTTCCCTGCTTCCCAGGACTTCCTGAGGTACAGTGAGAAGGCTGGTTTGGAATGTGCAGATATTGAGGTGAGCTTTCTGCTTGCAGTGCTTGCTGTTCTTAGGGACCATGCCAATATGATTTTGTCATTAAAGAAAAAGACTGTCTTGGAGGACTGAAGGTCCAAGGTAACTCCCTTCAAACTCAGCAGTATGATGAATAGTGAGTGCTAATCAGCACAGAGTATTTTCTAGAACTTGGTTAAAATTTGAGAATTCTGTCCTTGGCTAGCCATGAATCTAACCTCAGTGGAATTCTTCTGGTGGTGGCAGGTGATCTGTAGTGAAAAGGGGTGGTATTTGACCCCTTTACATCCTGCAGGGATTGGGTGAAATTTCAGGGATTCAACTTGCATTTTACCGATGACTCCAAGTATTATTTGACTCTTAACATATAAAGAATTCCATTTTCACTCCCTCTTCCACACCTAAGTGAAAGTCTTTGTGCCACCATGGGGATTATTTTAAGCCAAAGAGGTTGCAGCCATTCTGGCAGGTTATTTTAGGTCAGAATCTCTAATATTTCTGGCAAGGCTCTTGCTTGGGCACAGTAGAAACAAGAAAAGAAAGGAAATAGAAAAAATGGAAGAAAAGAAAATAAGCCAGTGCCCAGTGGTTGGAAAACTATGAGCTGGGTAACATCCTCTCCCCACACCCCCTGCCCCCTGCCCCACGTGGGTCACTGATAGACATGGAAGCCTGTGGTAATGGCCACCAGCCATGGCCCCTGACCCTCACCTATTAAAAAATAAACCTCTCCCAGTCCTCTGATAGTAGGCTGGCATCTGATGTCTTCTCCTCAAATAAAGGAGGTGAGGTTCCTGTCTTCCAGCCCTGCTTGCCATGAGTTTCCTGCTGGTTACTGCACCTCCTTCTGAGCGACTGTGTCTTTCCTCACAGAAAGCTGTGGAGTTAATGTGCCTTGTTCCCAAACGCTGCAATGACATGATGAATTTGGGGCGCCTGCAGGGCTTTGAGGTGAGTCCTGAGGAATGCTTCTGAGCCCTCTCTTCTTGGTAATGGGAGTCCAGGCTAGTGAGACCTTTGGAGCCCTGTGTCTTGTCTACCCTGTCCAAACCCTCTGCTTTATAGGGCTGGGACACGTATCTATTTAGAAAGTACACTGGTAGGACAGAAACAGAGCCCTTGGCCAAACTGGAACTAGAATTCAAGGAGGTTGGAAAGTCCATAGTTCTTTATAACTGTTTGAATCCAACAATGACCTCTTCCCTCTTCCATATTGATTGAGAATGGGGGGATGTGAGGCATCGCAGAATGGGGCAGGTGTTTGAATGGGAATGTAAACAGTTTTTTTTTCAGAAGTTAGTTCTGTTGACCAGGTTTTTATAGCGACTGAATTTTTAAGTACTGACCATCTAAAACTTTAAACCATCGTAGGACACATTCCTGTCATTTGAAGAGAGGAATAAAATCTTAAGAAGTGAACATACCAGTTCTCAGGGCTGTAATAACAAAGTACCATAAATTGGACAATTTAAGCTCCAGAAGTGTATCTTCAGTTCTGAAGACTAGAAGTCTGAAATCAAAGTATTGTCAGGGATGGTTCTTCCTGAGGCCTGGGAGAGAAGGACCCATTCCTGGCTTTGCCCCATGACGTATCTGGGACATCTTTCTGATCTCATGCTGTTCTCCCTGTGTCTTCACATCTCTTCCTTCTGGATAAGCCTGTATCCAAATTGTCCATGTTTTTAATAAGAATATCAGTCATAGTCTGTTAAGCCTAAAGACCTCCATCTTCCAGTAAGGTCACATTCTTGGAGTGGGGAATGATGGAGGTCACTCTTCATTTCATAACAGTGAAACTTGTGAGAACAAATCCACTTTCCTGAGTTATACTTACTAAGTGACTGTCATTAGTTCATGTCATAAATTAATTGAACATTACATTTTGAGTATTAGTATGATAAAACTGCAGCTGACGTGTTATAGACAGGAAGATAATCCTATTTCCCATTATTCTTGCAACCTACTATTTCATGTTTTTTGGAGAGCTGAGATTCCTAAAAGTTGAAATAATTAAGAAATAATTCTCTCTCTCTCTCTCTCTCTCTCTCTCTCTCTCACACACACACACACACACACACACACACACACACATAGAAATAAACTAGTAGAGGTTTAAGAAAGGGGTAAGTAAAGTTAGAAGATGTTGGATATATTCGGTGTGTGTGTCTGTCTGTCTGTCTGTCTGTCCAGTTGGGTTGTCTTTCTTGCCTTTTCAAGCCTGGCCCGTGGGTCCTCATTAGGTTTCCATGCTTTGTGGTGATAGGCACTGGGGGGCAGGAGGGGGAAATCTTTGTTACTATTGGTTTTCATAGATTTCTGGCTCTCCAAGAGAGATCTGAAGTATTAGCATAAGCAGAGCTACTTCCAATTAATGAATTTTGAGCTCATGTGTGATTTCTCCTTAGTCACACTGAAGGGATTTTTATAGGTGTGCCTTTGTTATTATTCCAAATCTGAGGGTATTGTGAATAAATCAAGTATTCCCTCTTGCTCTTCAACCTTGAAGGACCCATGTTTTGAATCTGGCTTGGCTTTCTCTGTGTCTCTGCAGGAACTGACTGCTGACAGGAAGAAAGGCATTGGTTTGTGCGCTCTGACTCAGAGCTCTCTGACTCAACTTAGACTTCAAGAGCATGTGTGTGTCCATATAAGACAACACCCAGGAGTGTGCAATTCTTTTGTGTGTGTGTATGTGTGTGTGTGTGTGTGTGCGTGTGTGTCTCTTTCTCCCTCTCTCTGGCCAATCCTGGGCCTTGAACTCAGGGCCTGGGCACTGTCCATGAGCCTCTTTGTGTTCAAGACTAGCCCTCTACCACTTGAGCTACAGCACCACTTCCAGCTTTTTGTGAGCAGCTTATTGCAGATAAGAGTCTCACATACTTTTTCTGCCTGGGCTGGCTTTGAACCGCTACCCTCAGATCTCTGCCTCCTGAGTAGCTAATATTACAGGTATGAGTGACCACCACCACTCCTTTCCCCATCCCTTCTTTTCTCTTTTAAATCAAACCACTGTGAGAATCTGCTAATTGTGAATGTGGCTTCCCTAATGCACACAGGGAGAAGTTCTCGTTTTCCCTCTTCCCAAAGCCTCTGCCTTTCCCTGCAGCACTGGCTGCCTATGCCCCATGATGAGGTTCTTGTGTAATATTAATAGAACTTGTAGAGCTTTCCTGGCTAGCTGGTCATTGGCTTAATATTAACTTTGGACCAGAGTAGAGATAAGCCTGTTTGGCTCCTGACCTTGGCTGTAAGGAGCTCTGATCTAAGCAGAGGGCAGGCATTTCTAAAGAACACACAAAAGAAAAATGACCTCTCAACCAGGTAATGTTTGGGATTAGGTATCACATGCAGGAATGTTTGCACTAAAGACCAAAAGTCATCACCCACCAAAGAATGTGTGCATTTCAGAGGAGGCCCTCTGATTACTCTCCCAGGTGGCAGGGTTTTTTTTTTATTACAACACAATAAAAAAAAAAAAAGCAAGGCATTCTAATAGTTTCTGTGAAGACTTGCTAGGTGTGGCATATTTATTCCCTTTAAAGATGTCTCTAAAAGTCTCATTAGAAACGGGCAAAGCAACTATGTTCTTCCACCTGCAATGGCTAATGTGTAGCTCATGGTAACAAGGTAGCTGGAGTCCTTTTAAGAAGGATCCCAGGACTCAGAAAATATCTACCAGTTTATAAAATAGGCAACCCTGTCTAGAGTGTCCCTAACTTTACCTGTTGGTCTTCACAGGAGACTAAGATTTCAAGATATCCTCATCCTAACCAATAGAAAAAGGAGAGGGGCAGGACTCATCAGCTTATTTGAGAGCCTCCCTGTATTACTGCCCTTGGCTTATAAATTGGTTCCTGGTTCTTGGCCATGAGGGCACCCCAGGTCCTTGGCTCATGCCACTAGGGAGCCAAATAGGTACAGTGCACAGAGCTACAAGGGTTGAAAGGCTACTTCTAGTTCCAAGTATCACTTAATTTCCATTTTTTACTTAAAAAAATGAATGTCCAGGGTAATTTGCAATTCCTTTTTAGGTAATTATTCTACCTTCCTCTGGATTTTTCTGGAGCTCTTTTTTTTTCTTTTGTTTTTAGTGGTTCCTGCTCCTCCTTTCTGTTTTTCTCTAGAGCTCTTACATGAATAGGAAAATGGTTGTGGTGTCCCTGGACATGTGGATGGATCTCAATTCAGTATCTTACTAGAGTCCCAAGCTTTTTGGTGTGTCATATCTGTTGCTCACATCCCCAGAGGGGAAGATCATGTGGCTTGAGAAGGCTGAAGCTGTCTCCCAGCTTCACTGACTTTTCTGGGCCTCTCTCTCTCTCTCTGTCAGGGTACCCTGACTGCCCAGGGCAAGCTTCTGCAGCAGGACACGTTCTACGTGATTGAGCTGGATGCCGGCATGCAGTCCCGGACCAAGGAGAGACGTGTATTCCTCTTTGAGCAGATTGTCATCTTCAGTGAACTGCTCAGGAAGGGCTCCCTCACCCCTGGCTACATGTTCAAGAGGAGCATTAAGGTGAGGTGCTGATGGGAAGAGCCAGTCTCTCAGAGATGCTTCTCTCCCATGGGGCGGGGGAGGACCCAGAACCTTGGCCTAAATAACCTGCCGTTGTGAAGGCTGAAGGAGCAGCTGTGATCAGGCTGAGGGCCAGTCTCCAGCATGATTCTGCATGTTCCTATAGACAAAAGTCAGAGTATTTACTGATAGATCCAAGGCACAATTTTGAAAGTTCTCAAATAAAAACTTTTAGGTACAGCTGGGCACGAGTAGCTCACACCTATAATCCTAGCTACAAGAGGTCTAAGATCTGAAGATCACAGTTCAAAGTCAGCCTGGGCAGAGAAGTCCATGAGATTATTATCTCCTATTAACTAGCAAAAAGCCAGCCAATGGAGGTATGGCTCAAGTGGTAGAATACCATCTTTAAGCAAAAAAGCTCCAGTACCAGCACAACTTTTTTAAAAACAATTTTTTGAGGTACAGTAATTCGTTGCTGACTTTTTTTCTTTTTAATCAGTTGTGGGACTTGAACTCTGGGCTTGGGTACTGTGTCCCTGAGCTCTTCAGCTCAAGGCAAGCTCTCTACCACTGGAGCCACAACACCATTTCCAGTTTTCTGGTGGTTTAATTGGAGATAAGAATCTCCTGAAGCCGGGCACTGGTGTCTCATGCCTGTAATCCTAGCTACTCAGGTGACTGAGATCTGAGGATCACGGTCCAAAGCCAGCCCAGGTTTATCTCCAATAAACCACTAGAAAACCAGAAGTGGCACTGTGGCTCAAGTGGTAGAGCACTTGCCTTGAGCTGAAGAGCACAGGGATAGCTCTCAGGCCCAGAGTTGAAGCCCCACGACAACAACAACAAAAAAAGACTTTTGTGCCCAGGCTGGCTTTGAACCACAATCCTCAGATCTCAGCCTCCTGAGTAGCTAGAATTACAGGTGTGAGCCACCAGCGCCCAGCTAGTTGCTGACTTTTTTTTAAACTACATAAACATGAAAAAGATGAACTCATTTTCTTTCAGATGAATTACTTGGTACTGGAGGAGAATGTGGACAATGACCCCTGCAAATTTGCACTCATGAACAGAGAGACTTCTGAGAGGGTCATTCTGCAAGCTGCCAACTCAGACATCCAGCAGGCATGGGTACAGGACATAAACCAAGTCTTAGAAACACAGAGGGACTTCTTAAATGGTACGTGCTGGACCTTGTCCCCTTTCAGGGGACTCCATACCATTCTCTTTTTTTGTCAGTTGTGGGGCTTGAACTCTGGGCCGAGGCACTCTCCCTCAGCTCTTCAGCTCAAGGCAAGTGTTCTACCACTTGAGCCACAGCACCACTTCTGGTTTTCTTGTGGTTTATTGGAGATAAGAGTCTCACAGACTTTTCCTGCCCAAGCTGGCTTTGAACCACGATCCTCAAATCTCAGCCTCCTGAGTAGCTAGGATTACAGGCATGAACCACCAGTGCCCAACCTTCATACCATTCTTAAGCCTCATGGAGACTAAAGAGACTAGACCACACTTTATGTGGACTCCAACCTTTTAGTTTCAGAAACACACACTAGAATTCTTCTAACCCTAAATACATAAATGGAACAGATAAGATAGGGTATAAGAAAGAAGTCCTGTCTTTCTGATAGAAGAGGAATTCTTTTGTATTCTGTGCATAGCTATGGCCTCCACTACCAGCTGGTGATAATTTTGGCAATAGTGTGAGTTGTGCACACCCTCTGTGTCATAGGGCCAGCATTAGTGAAACCTGTTTTTCCACTGGAGGCTGATGGCTGGTCCCCAAAACTTTCCAGTATAGACTGATGATTATACAGAGAATGTAGCTCTCCAGGGACCCTATAGGGGTCCCCTAAGAAGTTGAGACTAGAGTTGCTACCTTGTTTATGTTTGGTTTTCACTCCTGCTGGGATTTCTTCATATTGATTTTAGCGTGTGAAAGGAGATATGCAGTTTTAAATGAGTGCTGATCATCTGAGTTGGTAGGATCAGAAATCTATGGAGCCAAGATGGAGCTTGAAGTTGAGACCTAAAGGAAACCAGTAAGGAAGTATATCTAAAGACTCAGCAGCACATGTCTGCATGTGTATACACACACACACACACACACATATATACATGTTCACACATTCACACACACACATTTAGACACACACACATTTAGACACACACACACAGCTACAGATGCATCAACCCTTGCCTATCCTGAAATCTGTACTATTTTAACACATACTCACATATTTTAACACATACTCACATATACCTGCACATGTGTGTGCACACAGGACCACCATAGATGTCTGATCTCTTCTTAGCAATGCAGTACTGAAGATTGTAGTGTATGCACTCACGCATACATGGGTATACAGGGTCATCCTTGGGTGCATCCCTTCTTTCCTGTACTGAGATCGTACAATGTGCCCTTTATCCTTGCACATGTACACACTCTCATGGTCCCTCCTTTGGTCTGTCACCTCTTCGTGCCAATACAAGGATCTTGACTCCTTTTACTGCCACAAATAGAGCATGTGCCAGGTGTCTATCATGGAAATGAGTGCTATGGGCAAAAGTAAGTAATGACTTCCTAATCCAGGTCCTTGGGCAAAGGACTCACTACACTGCAGTGTCAGCTTACTTCATGGTAAGAAATTTGACACGTTTTATTTATTTACTTATATATTTATCTATTTTGTGCTAGTAAAAGGAAGGGAGGGGAGGGGAAAGGAAAAGAGAGGAGAGAGGGAGAGAGGAAAAAAGGGAGGGAGGTGGAGAGGGAGAGGAGAGAAGCATACTATTTTCAATTGGTTGAGCATAATTATTTCATACAACCAGGTTATACCAAAAGCCTAGTGATAGATATTGAGTCATAAATTCAGTTTAATGAGCCTAATTATCAAGTAAGTACACTTAAGTACCTCTTCAATGTACTTAAAACTTGAAACTGTATTGCTTTGGGCATAGTCAATGATCCAGAATGGTCCCGGAAGACCTTTCTCCTAATTATACTGAAGTAAGGATATTTCTGAACTAGGTTATCATTACCTAAATATTTAATGTCCCCAGAAAGCTCCCCAAGGCAGAGTCTATGTTCTGGCAGACCCGTTAATACTGTGACACACTGAAGTGAACAGGATGTGGTAATAGAACAAAGCTAGGCTTTTACTTACATGCGTGCAGAGTCTCAGGCAATCTCTCTCCTGAGATCTCAAAGAGAAAGGAGTGTGCCCTGTGTTGAGTTCTATCGAAATGTGGAGCTATGGCTGTGAAAAAATCCTTATAACTGAAAGTCTAGGGGCTCCAGCTGTTAACCTACTTAAATATATGCTACAGTGAACACCAATAAAAGTGACATAATCAGGACAGTCCTGGAAGTACTTTGCACAGAAGGACTGGGTAGCATTTGCCTGGCTGCACCTCTTTAGTGCTCAGATCTAGAACTTTGTGTCTTAAACTCAGTAAAGCAAAGCTCATATCTTTCTGTTCAAATCCTGTGTTGTGAGTTGCCTTCCCTCCTCCCAGTGTCCAATCTGAGTCACTTCCATTCCTACTAATGTTTCCCAGCTATATTGCGAACCTCCACGTTTTCCTGACTTGTTAGGCCTTGCTTCTTGTTTATTACTATCTCATGACTTTTGAATCAGACCAGAAGTCTTTATCTCTTCTCCAGTCCATCTGCTAACTGCTCTAAGATTAGTGTTCTAAAACATGGTTCTGATAGGGCTGGAAAGGTGGCTCAGCTGATTATGCAGTTTGATTTTAAACTTTAAGCTTAGCTGGGCAGGTGGCAAATGCTTATAGTTCCAGATTTCAAGAGGCTGAGGCAAGACAATTGTAAGTTCAAGGCTAACCTAGACTATGTAGTTCAAAGGCTACCCTCAGCTACATAGCAATACCCTGTCTCAAAAACCCAAGGGCTGAGGATATCTCTTGCCCATCATGCTCAAGACCCCTGAGTTCATTCTCCAGGACTACAAAAAGACAGGGAAAAAAAAGATTTTAAAGTTCATTTAATATACCTTATATAATCTACAGAGTAAAGTCCAGCCTTACCAGACTGGCTTTCTGGATCTTCCATATCATGGGCCCCCATCTTCCCTGATCTGTCCAGTCTCCTCTCCCTCAATCAGGCCTTAGGTTCTAAGTAATGAGAGTGTAGCCCTTCTTCCATCTGCAGAGTTTAAATGTCAGGGTGGCAGACAGCCCTTCCTGAAGCTCTTTATTACATTCTTCATTCCTAGACACATATACCTATGCAAGTGTATACATATTACATAACCTAATCTCTTCCAAAAGGGTAGTGCTTTACCCTTCAAATATGGTATGATTTTGCTTTTGTATTTTCGTTGCTTAAGTAGTGGTCTGATTTTCACAGTTCCTTAAAAACAAGTATCTATTATAAATTGACATGTTGAATTGAAACCCTTTTGTACAACTACTTAAAGACTTTTTTTTTTTGCCGGTTGTAGAGCCTGAACTCTGGGCCAAGGCACTGTCCCTCAGCTTTTCAGCTCAAGGCTAGCGCCTACCACTAGAGCCACAGCACTTCCAGCTTTTTCTGCTTTATGTAGTCCTGAGGAATCGAACCCAGGGCCTCATTCATGCAAAGCAAGCACTCTACCACTGAGCCACCTTCCCAGACCTTAAAGACAATTTTTTTAAAGTGTTTTCCTCATGCCTAACACAAAGCCTGACACCTAGTAGACCTCTGTATACTTATTGGATTCCCAAGGCTGAGAAAAACTCTCGTCTTACCTACAGCACTACAGTCTCCCATTGAGTATCAACGGAAAGAAAGGAACTCAGCCGTGATGCGGTCCCAGCCTGCCAGGGCTCCCCAGGCCAGCCCTAGGCCCTACTCCTCTGTTCCCATGGGCTCAGAGAAGCCTCCAAAGGGCTCCAGCTACAACCCACCTCTGAAGATATCTACCTCCAATGGCAGTCCAGGGTTCGACTACCACCAGTCTGGGGACAAGTTTGAGGCCAGCAAGGTAAGAACAGCTTTTTGTTCTGCCCTATCACCAGCAAGGCATGGAGAAGGTGGTGGTTCGTGTGTGCATACAAGAAGCCAGGTTCCATAATCCACAGTTCTATCACTATCATGACGATCAATATATTTCACCATAGACCTAGCCTACACAGCTGGTTTGACCCTAAAATGTAGTTGGAGCAGGAAAGAAATGGGAAAATTCTAATTCAGAATTAGGTGATCTCATGTTTACTCCAAACTCTTCACTTGCTTTTGCCAAGTGCTGGTGGCTTACTCCTATAAGCCACCTTACTCCTCCTCTTACTACTCAGGAGGCTGAGATCCGAGAGATCAAGGTTTGAAGGCAGCCCCAAAGAAAAGTCTGAGACTCTTATCTCCACTAAACTACTCAAAAAAAAGCCAGAAGTGAAAATCTCAGGGACAGCACCCAGGCCCTGAGTTCAAGCCCCAGGACCTGAACACACACACACAAAATCCTTAGTATGGCACCCTATAATTCCAGCTACTCAGAAAGCTGCGGCAGGAGTTGTTTGGATTCCAGACTATCTCAGGTAATGTTAGCAAAACCATATCTCAAAGCAAAATATAAACAGAGGGTTGGGATTGTGGCTCAAATGGTAGAGCACTTTCCTAGCAAGCACAAGGACCTGGGTTCAATCCCTAGTACCACCAAAAAGAGTTCAAATGAGTTCATCAGGCCTCAATTGTCTTTAGAACTCAGTGAGTCTATGAGTAGGAATAGTTGCATTTTGTCCTACATCCAGTTTTGTTGTTTTATTCTCCCCCCGCATTGATATTAATTTTGTTGAAACTAATTATTGATATCCAAGTAACTGTACCAATCTATCTCATCACATGACCTGGAAATGATTTTCCACCCTAGCAAACCCTGTCTTTAGGAATCACTTGAAGTCACTTTAGCATTTTTCAACATATTCAAGGGTTTCTGACTGTCACCAAACTGTAGGAAATTGCTGGGTGTCTTAAAGAGTTTCAGGTCTGGCCAGGCACTGGTGGCTCACGCCTGTAATCCTAGCTACTCAGGAGGCTAAGATCTGAGGATCGTGGGTCAAAGTGAGCCCAGGCAGGAAAGTCCATGAGACTCCTATCTTCAATTAACCACCAGAAAACTGGAAGTGGCACTGGTGTTCACCTTGAGCTGAAGAGCTCAGGGACAGTGCCCAGGCCCAGAGTTCAAGCCACACAGCCACCCCCCCCCCCCCCCACACACACACACAAGTTTCAGGACTGCCTAGAAGTAACTACTTTGGTGTAAAATCAAATGAAAAGTCATGTAGACTGTTCTTCCTGTATTAGTAAGTGTGAGGATGGGAGTTCTATTCCACAGGTAGTTAGGTCAGGGCAAGTCATGGCCTTGTCTTTGAATTGAATAAAGATGTTAGTTTACTCTTGTGTCAGAGTCAGGATGTATGGTATAGCCAACTGATGGTTTTCAAAAGGGAAAAAATAATATCCAAGGGTCTATGTCCTATTCATAGGGGAGGATTATGAGCCCTGGCCTGACCTTTGCCTCACCTCACTCTGCCTAGGTACTTATGTGTCCATGTGCTGATGCCAGCTTCTTCCTGCCATTATAATGCAAGAGAATGCTGGTGGGAAGGTTGCATGCTAAAACAGGGCTTTGAGGTTAATGGTGTATTCATACCTTTGCCTGCTCTCTAGCTAGACAGTATCTGTATCTGTTTACCTTGATTATAATATTGTCTGAAGCATTGCTATAAAAATACAAAGCATGTTTGTGAACATAATGTCATCACTCAAGGAGTATCCTAGCTATTATATATTCCTCTAGTGGGAGAGCTGGCTTTTAATCATGCAGCAGGGTGCAGAGCTTTCCCACATGAACTAGTCTCTTAGCACCAGTGTCCATCTCTCCGTCTCCCAGCAGAATGACCTGGGAGGCTGCAATGGGACCTCATCCATGGCAGTGATCAAAGATTACTATGCACTGAAGGAGAATGAAATATGTGTGAGCCAAGGTGAGGTGGTCCAGGTCCTCGCCGTCAACCAGCAGAACATGTGCCTGGTATACCAGCCTGCCAGCGATCATTCCCCAGCCGCCGAGGGCTGGGTTCCGGGCAGCATCCTAGCACCCCTCACCAAAGCCACAGCAGCAGCAGAAAGTAGTGACGGGAGCATCAAGTAAGTGCCTTGTTGGCTTCCCTGGGAAAGGAGTATGTGGATTAAAAAAAAAAAAAAGAAAGAACATAAAAATGTAAACACACAGTGGGGAATTACTGCTGCTTATTCTGGACAGTGCCACTCACAGTGTGAGTGACTGTACACCCACCCACAGCTTGGGACAACCAGACTAGATCTTTCTGGGGTGGTTTTGGTGGTGGTAGTGGTGGTTTTTCCTTCCGTTTCCTTTATAATTTTCTGTTTATTTTTCCCCCTCTTTTTTTCCCCCTACTTCTTAAGAAAAGAACCCTACTGAAACCCTAGGTGACAAAAGATATACCTTCTGTTGCTACATTTGACCTACCACGGGACTCACTGGACTGGACTTCTATTTATATTGTATGAAGTTATTGATATATATATTTTTTGATTGACACCCAAAAACAACCTTAGCACACACTGCCAGACCTGGACAGGTCAGAGGCCTGCTGCTTCTCCCAGAAGAGAGGGAAACTTTTTGGTTGTCGATGGCAAATCCTCTGTACAGATTGTAACTTTTTTTTTAATTTCCTCCCTCCCCTGTCATTTTAATATATGTTCATGGTCATTTGTAAGATAATTTCTTTTTCCTTCTTTTGGTTGCAAAGACCCTTCCAATCACATTCCTGTATAAAGTATTTTGCACTATTTAAAGAAACCCATATGGATGAAGTCAGGCTGTGCAGTATAATGGAGAGACACAATGGTCATCATTGTACCTGTAATGTAACTAATAATTTTAAATGTACTATTTTAAATATGTAAAATAAATTTTCACCATGAGCATGTTTTAATGAGGTTAAAAACTAATGGACCCTTTTTCCCCCTATTGATATCTTTCTCAGACTTTTAAATTTGCAAATGGTTCTCTTCTTCTTTTTTTTTTTTTTAATCTTGTCTATATTTTAGGAGTTGGTTGAATACATCGGCAGGGTTTTTTTTTGGTACATAACAAGTGTTTTTATTGCTGAAGTGCCGGCTCTAGGCCTTCCTCCACACAACCCCTGTAGTTTTTCTTTGACTTCCAAGATGATGAAGGATACTGACCAGCAGGTTCCCGGCAACTGGGCAACCTTGATTTGCTGATGTGAATGGACAGCTAGAATAGATGGTGTGTGTTGGCTTGCTTTTCCCCACTGTCCTCCATACCCATGGAAGAGGCACAAGGTGTCCAAGCAGCAACACCAGTTTGGCCTTTCCTCTAGGTCACAGAATGGAAACTAATAGAAAGAGTGACCTTTTTTCTAGGTCACTGATAGAAGTTCCTGTCACCTTGGACTCACCAGGTAACTGCAGGAAATCAGCAGTGGCCTATAAGATGAAATAAGCCTAGTCCATTTTCTTCTGAAAATATTTGGTTTGGGTGCCTTTGGGGACCTTGGGAGTCAAGGCCCTTGGAACCTTGGAGTTCTTGCAGAGCTAACTCTTAATGGTTTCTTTTCTCCTTACCCAGGCACTAAGTATATCTTCCTCTTCACCTTTGGGTCTGTTGGTCCCATATTTCCATTTTCCATGAGAGGGCAGGGAAGAGGCTGGGAAATGGGAACAGATTGAAATACACACTGGTCCTTTGAGCCCTGGCCAGCTGCTCTTACACAAGGGTGGCAGTGGAAGTGAGCAACTGACTAAATGTAATGTCAGTGTTTATCAGCAAAGGCTGCTCACCACACCTCTCCGGGGCCTGCTGTGACCACAGGGTCAGCATTGGTTATGTTACCCACAGGATAAATGTCACAGAAACCCTGTGTCCACATCAGTCCCCAGGCTTTCAGCCAGGAGATGGAAACACCCCAAACCATGCTGACGTGTTCTTCTGGGAAGAAGCATCTGAAATGGAGCCTGTCTTGCCACTTGTGCTGTTCTGGTTTCCCTTCTGAACGTTATTTTTAACACTCCTCATTTATCACCAAGCATCCTAAGGAACCTGGAGGGTGGCAGTAGCATAGGACACACCCACACACGCACACATGAACACAGTGTCCTCTGCCCAGGGATATGGATTTGGAGGTAAAGATATGACCAAAAGTCTGCAGTCCATACCGTTGGAGATCAAAACCACTTCCATTCCTGGTTCTCTCCTTACCCAGGCACTAAGTACATCTTCCTCTTCCTTTGGGTCTGTTGGTCCCATATTCCCATTTTCCATGAGAAGGCAGGGAAGAGAGAGAGCAATTGGGGGACAGTGCCTACAGAGCCTGCCAATCAGAAGGTCCAAGACAAAACTAAGCCTTCTGAAGAGGCCCATTTTCCCAAAGACTGAAAAACAGGCCTGGGATTGTTTCTTCCTCCTCAGGTTACTTTTGGGCCTGTGTATTCAGTAATGAGTATTTTTGACAAGATTCCTGAGGTTTTGTGTGGAGTACTATGGAGAAGGACTAAGCCATTCTGTTTTACAGTATATTCCTTCCTCCTCCATCTCTCCCCACATAAAAAAGGTTTCCTTCCTGAAATCCAGTCTACCAGGTCTCACATTTAAGCAGAAGACACTGAAGGGAAAGTCACAGAGAGTGGCTGCAATTTCATCCAAACCCTGCGTCCACACCTGAAATGATGATGCCTGTCCAGGTCCCCAGTGCTGTGCGCCTTGGCTTTTGAGTTGGATGGATGTGGAACTTGAGAGCGCCGCTCTGAGCTTCTCTTTCTATGTCTGTGAAGAAGTATCTCCCAGCCTCTCATGGGAAGGAATTAGGATAGTGGAAAGGGCTCAGTCATCATCACCTCCCTAGGGGTACATATGAGGTCTAGCCCCACAAGGAAACTCTTGGACTTCTTATTGGCTGCCATACACAAACACTGAGTGATGTGGAGAACATAAGTGAAACAGTTTGTCTTAACATATCCAGATACACAAGTAATACTCAGCCATTTACCAAGTCAACAACTCCTCCAGAAACCACTGTATTTGGGCAAGCCCAAGTACAAAGAATGAGTGAGGAACCTCAAAACCCTCCTTTTGGGTCCTTATATCTGGGCCTTGGGAGATGCCAATGGCTTGGGCCCAATAGAATACATTCTATTCCTATCTCTCCACTCTCCATCCTTCCCCATCTACCATGCACTCATGAAAGGAACCTCTCAGTCCTAAAAGGCTTCATCAAATGATTTAGAGACCTCACTGGGCAATTTGGTGACCTGGTACTCATAGTGTTTCCACCTGCTGCAGTCACCCTGTGCATCTTTCAGGAGGAGTCAGAATTGCTCCTCGCTCACTTCCAGGTGGAGGTGAGGTCAGCTGCAGCCTACCACAGGAGCTGGCATGCAGATTTGGGGACTCTGAAGCCAGCAGCTTGACTGGAACACCTCAGTTGACTCACTCAAAGGTGGTGAGCCTGCCCACCAGCCTCACTCTGCCTCAACCTGCCATTTTGATTGGTGCATTTTTTGGTACAACAGGAAGTCATGTTCATGGCATACTCTACGCATGAGAAAGCGGGCGGAAGTGGAGAACACGGGTAAAAATGACGCCACAGGGTCTCGTAAACCCAAGGAAATTCTGGGCACCAAAGTCTCTGTTAAAGTGAGTAAGGTATTTGGAGCTGGGTCCCTCTCATCCACTCTCACCCTGCAACGTTCTCACAAGGCAATTTGGGTGGATGGGGATTTTTTTATTTTTATTTTTTTCTTTACCTAGTTCGGGGACCAGAGGGAAAGTAGTTTAGCAGGATTTTGCATGCGAGATCAATTTATTTTTTATTTTTTGTTTCTCCTGGCAACTTCAATTCAAGTAAGTACCTCTTTTATTTTTCCTTTTGTACCTTTCTCTTTAGACTGTGCAGATATTTTATGGCAAAATTATCTGCCGCATTACTCTCTTGGAAGTAAATGCAAGATGCTTGATTTCACATTAAACTTCTCAAAGCTGCCCATTCAGTGGCCTAGGTTTGGGAACACTTGCAGGTTACAGGAATTAGGAAAGCCTTCCAAACCCCTCACCATGGGCAGATTGAGGTTTGAAGTTCAAGGGCCAGCATAGATCCTCAGTAAAGTTTCATTTCTTTTCCCCAGAGTCCAGACCATACCAACTTTAAATAATTTCCCCCTTTGCATGGGCAGGGTAGGAAGACATGTTAGAGAAGGAATTGAAGTCATTAGTTTGCTTTAATCTTGATCCTGGCAGACCCTTTTTTCCTCTATCTCAAAACATGATCTGCCTTGTTTAACCTGAGCTTTATGAGAAGATGTACATCTGGACAATGGAAACGAATTGTTTACTTTTGTGACAATGTATCATTATGTACCTGGCCTTCCAAAAAGCTTTAGAAACCCATTCTAACATCCTTTGTTCTTGGGGAAAAGAAATTGTATACTGTCTGTGGTCCTGGTTTGGGAAGTCCAGCCTCACCACCCAAGAGGACCTTTTAATTTTGTAGTGTTCATGCTTCATTTGGTTGCTTCCATTGCTCTTTCCTGTGAGATCCACAGCTGTTCACAGACCCAGGCTCCTCTCCCTGAAAAGAGCATGCTACTGCCCTTGGTGATTCACATCCCCTACTGAAAGCACCTGGTTGCTCCTCTGCCCCGTTTCCCATTGCCCTTGCTCCTCTGAAGTTCTCTTCCTTTGCTAACCACGGCTACTTGCATTCTAACTGTGTTTTCTCTCTCCCCGCTTCCTCATGCTGCCAACCAAGGAGACGAACAGTTCCGAGGAGTCAGAATATGATGATCTTGACCCTAATACTAGCATGGAGGTAGAAGCAGCTATGTTGTCCTATTTCCTACAGTGATTGCCTTTTTTAAGAAATGTATTTATGAATGTGTTGTGTAACATTGGCCTTGCTAAAGTGACCAGCCATTCAAGGATAAATTCTGATGCTAGGGCATCTCTGGGTATCCTATCCCAAGTAAAACAAACAGACTTAGTTCAGCCCTATTTTGGTAGGAAACTCTACCTCAATACCTTCCTTAAAAAAAACAAAATTGGTGGTTGTTTTCTTGAATGCTTGCTTCATGTTTCTTTGGCAGGTTTGGATTTATGTAGAAAGTACTCAACTATATTATTTGAAACTTAGGACACATTTTTCATGGAACACAGTGCTATAAAATAGTGGTTGGTTCCCAGGTGAAGGACAAGATCTTCATTTGACATTTTGTTCTGCTTTCTTTTATTTTTTTCCTGCACCTCCTTTTCCTTCCCCCCCCCCTTCCTTTTGATCTTCTTCATCTTCTACATCTTGTTCATCTGCTGAGATCTGTTCTTTCCTCGGTGGTCCACAAAGGCAGAGATTAAGTATGAGTTTGTGGTGGCCTGGCACAGAGTTATTGTGTGTAGCTGATGGGGAGCAAATGAAGTGCAATGAGAGCAACTCCAAAGCACACTTTTGCCCATCCCAGGCCTCATGAGCAAGGGTGAGAACAGCCCCCTTTCCCATAGTGTTGGTGGAGGCCTTTCTGGGGATGGTGAGGCTGTAACACTGCACAGGAGATCTTGCCTACCTCTAGGTTTACAGAAGTGTGGAGACACCAGGTACTCATGGCTCACACCTGTAATCCTAACTACTCAAGAGGCTGCATCCTGACAATCATGATCCAAAGCCAGCCCTGGCAGAAAAGTCCATGAGACTCTTATCTCCAGTTAACTAGCAAACAGCCAGAAGAGGAGGCATGGCTCAAGTGGTAGAGTGCCAGCTTTGAACAAAAAAGCCAAGCAAGAAGCCCTGAGTTAAAGCCCCAGTACTGGTACAAAATGGGGGTGGGGACTGTGGGAGTCCTTATTCAGCTCTAGTGGGCCAGGGAAGAAGAATGTCTTTACCATGTTGTAAAGGAAGAGGTACAGAGAGATGTGAGACCAGGTGAGCAGCACCCACTCAGAAAGGTAACTGACGCTCTCTTTCTACATTTAGATGAGAAACAGTGTGCGCACGCGCGCGTACACACACACACACACACACACACACATTCACATTCACACTTTGCTTTGCAATTGAGTGCATTCTTAAGGCTTTTACTCACCCAAGGCTGATAGCTTTTTGTGGTTTAAGTGGGTCTCCAAGAGGTGTTATGGGGTGCATAAGCAGACTTTCCAGATGTTCCTACTAAGTCAAGAGAGCCCCCAAACAGTGTTGATGTGTGTCCAAACCCTCAAGGAAGCACGTGGCTAGAAGCTGTAAATACTCTGATTGAGCTGAAGTTTCTACGGTCAGGTATCCTTGCAGCCCTTGTTCATTCTTCATGGGCCTTCCTGGCCATCCATGAGTTCTGAACATGTTACCAGCTCAACAGTCACTCAGGACACATGGGCACAAGGGCACATGGGCACAAGGAAAAAGCCAGCATCTTGGCCCTGCTGGCTTAGTATCTTTCTTGACACATGTAGTGAATGAGATATGGAAAGTCAACCTGTTTAACGTGAGTTGAAGATTATCTCAAGGGACTTGAAGTGGGACTTTGTTGCAGCAAACATGGGAGAAGAACATGGCCATGTGTGCACACTGAAGGCCCAACTTGAAATAAGGTGGGTGGGCCACCTCTTGAAGGCCTTTCACTGCTACATTTATCATTGGGGTGGGGAGGGTCTATTCCCAGAACCAGCCTGGCTCCCACCTCACCATTGTCTTCTGAATTTGATGGCTGTGGGAAGTGTTGTCTCTGGAAGTATGTCCTGTGCACTTGGTGAGCTGAGCTACATACAGGCTTCCTGGCCTGTGCTGAACCTGTGTTCCTGTAACCCCAACTGCCACCATGCACCCCTGTGAAGCCCAGCCCTGATGACGGTTCTTAACCTGAATGTTCATGACCAAACATACCAGTTCATTCCAGTGCTCTCAATACAGGCTCCTCTGCCTCTATGGGAATCATATCGCCAAAGAGCTTATATACTTTCTCTCAATGAGTAGACTAAGAGTTCCTTGAAGGGCCAATTTCCAGGGTGTTTTTTTTTTCCTGGCCCACCATAGAATTTTTATTGTTTCAAGCCTATAAGTCAGGTTACGAGTACAATGCCTTCGGTCAGTGTCATCCTTGCCTTCATTCTCCCCCATTTTCCCATTTCCCCCTCATACCCCTCCCCTCCCATCCCTACCTTCAAGTTACACGGTTCATTTTTTTACACAATGTATTACCACCATACCATTTGGAGAAGACATAAGGCATATGGCATAAAGCATCTTCAAGCCTAGGGGTCTGACAAAGAATGCCTGGTTATGTAAACAGAAGCAATTGACTTGACTGTACCCCCTTCCCTTCCCTTGTAAAGGCCTCACTACCAGCCACAGATGGCGTGACTGACCTCCCTGTGGCCAGGATTTCTATCCATCTGTACATCTCATGGAAATCAGTTATAAAATTGATGAATAGATGTCCATAGTTCAGCTTTGCCTTGCACTGATTAAACTCTGGGGATGAGATTGAACAGACATTTTATGTGAGAGACACTTTCCACATGGAAGAAGAGCCAGATCAGAATGAAAACCCAGTACAAGGGTGCCTTGGAGTAAGTGAATTCATTTTTTTTCTACTGACTACCGTTCCTGAGGTGGGAACCACATGCCTACCTACCAGCTTCTTCCATCACACCCTGTCCTGGATTCTGCCTTCACGCTCTTTCACGATCCCTGGAACTAAGGATCAGGTATCTAGGTTGTGCTGGCTTTCCCATGGGATCTGAGCTAGATGAATATTCATATCCATACCGTCTCTGGATAGCAGCCTGAGGACTGTATCTTTCTTGCAGTTTTACACCTACTCCTCACCCCTAGTATTACTGCTTGCCTGCATCACACAGTGGGTTTGAAAAGCCTGAACCAGTCTTTCAGCTTTAGGTCCAAAGATGAGAATTTATCTCCAAAGATGAGAATTCCAGCTAGCCATCAGTGGTTCATGCCTATAATCCTGGCTCCTCAGGAAGCGGAGATCTGAGGACCTTGGTTCAAAATCAGATTGGCAGGAAAGTTGCTGAGACTCTTTTATCTCCAAGTAACCAGGAAGAAATGCAAGACTCTATCTGAGACATAACTAAAGCAAAGAAAGGGCTGGAGGCAAGGCTCAAGTACAGGGGATCTGTCTAACAAGCATGAGGTCCCTGTATTTAAACCCCAGTAACTCCATAAAGAAAAAAAGAAACCTAGACGATACCCTGAGCCAGTTTTTGGTTTGCTTTGGCTATAGTTGTTATCACACACCATCCTGTAGCAGCTTGGAGCACCCCATCTGCAGGGTTGGTTTTCATCTAAAATGCAGATCCTGGCAGCTGAAGAGGCCTGTCTTCCATTGCCAATTTTTCCTGTGAATGTGCTATTCAGAGGAATATTATTTCTCCCCATTCTGCTTTTCCAAGACTGAAGAATGATTTAAACATAAACTACACAAAGGCAGTGTCTCAGAGAAAGAACACAAGCTGGGAAGCCTGAATACTAGTCTCGACGCTGTGAGCTACGTGACCTTGGCAGAGTTGGCTCTTTGGACCCCCAAGCTTTCCAGCAGGTGGCTGGCTGCACAGTGCCAAGTGTGCAGGTGTGAATTCAGTAGTGTGCAGCTCTCCACAGACCTCTTAGATCCAGGGTGTGATGTCAAAGGACTCTGCTCAGGAGCACATCTCCCTCCAAAAGCAATGACACCTCACCAACAAAGGAAGTCGAAAATTCTGTGCATGCTTATTAGGGGCCGTGACAGAACTGGCTTGGGCAGATTTCCCCCTGGGACCAGACTGGAGTGTCTAGTATGTAGTAGGAAGGTAGTGAGTAGCTAGAGCTGTCCTTCTTTCCTTCCCCAAACCCACAATTCCTCAGCCCTAGCTTCCCTAGCTTCCAGAAGCCAGCCTGATGATCCCACCTCAGCTACTCTGGCCTCTGTTGTCCCAGATTCAGCGTTCCAAAATAACCCAGCCAGACAGAAGGACTGAGAAACTGTTACACCCCTTGTCACGTGACTGACCTGCAGCATTGCTAGAGTGTTTCCACTGCCTGCCTGCTTCTAGATTTTATAAAAAGAACTTTGTAAATGAAAAGAACCCTTTGGAGGGAAAGAAAGTAAAGCATTTCATTCCTCTCATGTTGACAAAATATTTTCTTTGTAATACATCTGATGGGTTTGGCTCTTTCTTTCCACCCTGCTTTGTTCTGATAGACTGATTGATATTCCATGTCCAAGGAAGGGAGCCTGGCTGAAACAGGATGGGCCCATTGGGGAGGATTATAAAGAAATAGCCTTCTCCTCCCACGCCTGAATATCCACACCTCTCATGTCTCTGTTCCAGCCACCCTGTGAAGATGTAGAATGGGGTGTCTTACCCTCTTTGTTAGTTGTATTCCACTGGGACACATGCTTCAGAGAAACAACTAAGAAGGAATACTTATTTATTATGGTTCATGGCTTCAGAGATGTCAGTCTCTTGTTGCCTTGGGCTAAGATTGGAGCACTGGGTGAAGGATGCTGGTCGTCTCATGGTAGCTAGGAAACAGAGAATGCCTGTCTCTGGGATTTCTCCTTTTTATTCCACCCAGGCCCCTAGTTCATAGTGATGGTGCCGTGCACATTCAGGGCAGGTCTCCCTTAGTTAATCATCTCTGGAACCACACCCAGAGGTGGACCTTACTGATACTGTGAGACACCATTCAATGCAGTGAGACTGATAATGAAAATTAAGCATCACATGCACCAAGAGGAAGCAGGTCCAGGGAGTGGACTGCCAAGCACTACCAAGCACTGACCGAGCAGGTCACACTGATAGAGCAGAGGCCTGGCCTGTGTGAGG